CAACTCTTTCACCGCGCCATGTCGAGCGACCGTTGTATCGAGTCTGCAGTCTATCTAGATGGCTAGGTTTCTACACGGCCTAGCTGTCTACGTGCATTTGTCACGTAGCTGTCACTGCATTTATGGTTGTCGGGCGAGTTTTACCTATATATGGTTTCCATGCTCTAATTAGGGTTCCAATCGTAGCCTGGCGTCAGATTGCGTAAGGATGCATTCATTTTAAAAGTATGTAAGTTTGTGTTCTCGTTGCTATTGATCGCGCACGGAACAAACAGCTCAAAATAACAAGTTTATTTTGTAGCGTGAGGCGCGACCGACGGCCACAGCTAACATTCGCGACCAAACTATAAGTAAAGATGAAAGCGCACGGAGGTTTTACGGTTCGGATAAGAAATCGATTTGCGGTTTCGCAGAATTGAGAGTGGTCAGGTGCATCGATCATACGTATCAACTCAATGTTTACACAATCAGCCATGTCAGGTGTATTGATGATACGATGAACCCCGTTGACCTGTGACCTCACTGATAGGTGCCATGTACGTATAGAATGTTTGTGACGTCTGAATAGGCAGCCGCGGATGACATTTGTCTATATGTACAAGGAAATCTGTATTCCTCTTTGGTTTTAATCTACGGAATATAGTTATTGTTGCCTAAGTCGCCCTTGCGTTTATCGTGACAATAAATATATTATATCGTTATCCGCTTGTGGGTGGTTGATCAGGCCGTGATCGCTCCACAGGGGTGACACGTCCGGTCTTGTACCTCCACTGCCAGACACGTGTCATTCTGACCAACGACGACAGTGACAAAATCAGAAACACGGAATAATGCAGCACTTGGCTAAATAATTGTCTTTTACTAGACACACTAGCCAATTACAATAGTATTTATAATTAATTCAAGAAAATACGAAGTCAATCCAAGAATATATCCACGTCAGTATACTGTCTGGCAACTTTCATATATATCTCCCGTTACCAACTCATCAGCCCAACGTGACCTTGCACAGGGGACACGCGAATTGTGCACGTGCTCACGTCTAAAGGAAGCTATCCTAAGCTTCCACGCATGTTTAGGCTGAAGCTGCAAGCCTCCTCGTCAGCAATGGTGACCTCTAGACGTGTCAAGGTCGTGTCAAGCTTCGTGCGCACACAGTTGTATGATGTCACGGACGTGAAGTCGTTTGTATAAGTGTGCAGACGATACACGACAGAACCCCAAAATCGTAGCAATACAGCAGTAATACAGTCTTTTCATTTATAAAAATCATCGTTGCAATAGTATAAAAAGCTGTTAAAATACTGAAATTCTTAAGTAATACACAACAATATAATACTAAACGATACGAAAATAATACAATACAATACAGGCATTTTTACTACGCATATACAATACAACTGACGAGAGAAATAACTCCATGACGACAAAAGGTTACCGATGATGGACACGTGTGACAGTGATCAATACCGCTATTGGTACTAACCCCAGTCATTCTGCTCTCATAATTGGTTCATATTATGATCAGATCTAACTGAGTATCACAGGATTGATAATAACAACATGTAAAGTATAGGTTTCCCGCATTCCCACCGTATTTGCCTGTTAACTGTAACAGGAGAAATCACGAGCGATATTTTGTTTCGCAGGCGCGTTTTCTCTTCGGTATAATACTTTTTCGTATTTCTATGTATATCTATATATGTGTGTGCGCGTGCGTGCGTGCGTGTGTGCGTGTGAGCGTGCGTGCGTGCGTACCTGCGTGCCTGCGTGCGTGCGTGCGTGCGTGTCACTCTAACCACCTCTCTCTGTCTCTCGTTCTCCTACGCGCGCTCTCTCTCATTCTCCGCCATCGTCTCTCGTACGCGCACTCTCTCTTCTATTCTATTCTGGCAGCTTTACCTGCGATGGGATTGCTGGCCAACAGCATCTCGATTGCTGCCTTCTCTGCTTGCAGGGCGGCTATGAGAGCTGCCTGGCTGTTCCTGAATGTAGTTATATCGTCGTCAAACGTCAGCTGGTGTCGGGGATGGGCAGCATAGTGTACTGGATAGTGGGGCTCCGGCAATCTCAGATAGTGAGTAGGACGGCGACGCGACGACTGAAACCCTAACAAATCAGAAGTACAAATATAAGATGACACGCCGGGAAACAGACGGCGGTATGAGTAAGCCCGCAGCTGGCGGCGAGGCAAGAGACTCGCTTGCCCTCCAGAACATTGTAAATACTCTTACATGTGGCTAATGGCTAACTTCCCACTGTCCGGAACACAAACCATGCTGCGCCCCCAGGCAAAATGAGTTCGCTACGGCCCTGGGTATATATCCGTTCCCACACTCCGTGATTTGTAACATCTATAGAGGTATAGATAGCTGCTAGGTCCGCCCATTGTAAGGATTGCGACAATACTGCAGTGAGTGCCTTAATTAGTTTCTATAGGAGCTTGTAATTATTCTAAGCATTGGAATCACGATGGATAGCAATATAAATAAACCCCTTAAAAAACAACCAAACTGAATAGGCAATGAACAATGAAGTAAAAACCAAGCAAAATGGTCTTCGTTTACCAGTCAATGTGCATTGAGATGTAGAAATTCAGCGCAGTAGGCACGCACAGATGCTATATATGCACAGTAAACCTACACCTCGCTCTCTGTGGGCATCAATGTGACAATATAATGTCAGTGAAACTCGATCAAAGACAAACAAAACTATTTAAAGGGATACATATAACCCTAGGTTCCTTGCTTATTTTTAGTTAAAGTAGGCTTAAATACGCCATATAAAAAATTTCATTGTTCAATATATGCATTAAAAAATGATTTTTTAACGTTTTAAAACCAACGTCTGTATCGTTGCTTACAGCGACGGTGGCGCCACTACTAATCCATCTACTTTCATTGTTGCGCATCGCAACTTTTTGGCTGCAGGCTATACAGACTAAGGCTGTTTCTTATTTATTCATTTAAGAGGAGAAGGAATGCAATATCATATAAACAACCTTTAGATTTTTAGATTCAGTTACAATATAGACATTCGGTTAAATAACAGCTAGGTATAAATATAGTTAGTCCTACACTTTTGTGATTAGCCTTCGGTCTGTAACGTGCAAAATAAATCGGTAAAAGCACTTCTTAAGAGTGGCAGCACAATAGCAGGATGCCATATGTCATGTCAGCGGCCAAAAATAAAGATTTCGAAACTCAGTTGTTTTATGACAAATATGTAAATGTAATGGATTATAAAAATTTGTAGGTATATACCATTATTCGTTTATAATTACCATAATATATATACCCTAAAATTCTAAGGTGTAGTATCCATTTAAGGTGGGAACATTAACGTGGAAAGTACTTTGCAGGATAACATCAAATACAATATTAGCATACGATGGATGCTCGTAGGATCAACGAGAAAAATTACGTCATCGCCGTAACGAGTCTCGTGACCTCGTTGACCTTCAGGCGCAGAAACAAGCGTAGCCTACCGAATGACCGCCGCGGTTGCTTGTAAGGGGGGCCGCGGTATCCGTTGTTATGGGAGCCGTCGTACGTCTCTCTCCCTTGTGTCACCGAATTTTCTCCGTACGGCTGAATTCTGTGCGACTGTCTAGCTCCACTGGACACGCGTGGGATAGTGACGTAAGGGAATCTTCCCGCAGCTGAACAATGGATGACGCAGCATGACTGCAATAACAATGAGAATCGTTACAGATCGTTGAGGATCGTTTTAAAGTTATCGTAGCTCTACTACATACATGCATGGTTCGGTTGGTTGCTATAACGACGAGAAACTAGTGGTCCTCTACACACACAATTATAACGTTGTCATCAGAACTACGGCCATGGTTACCTTCTGATAAATATCCATGCCCGCACACACACACACACACACACACACACACACACACACACACACGCAATCACGTACATACGCGCACATACGTTCGCAGGCGCGCACGCACGCTATTTAGAAACGTTTCAAATCACTTACCGAACAGAAGATAACCAGGAAGGCAGATAATGTAGTCAGGCACGTCATTTTCATGGTCGTATTGCCACGTGATATGTTACTGTCGTGCATCTATTCCCGTGATGACCTTATCAATTATCATGTATATATGTCCTAGCTCAACACACTTGACACACTCGACACACGCGTCTGCAGATTTAGAATGGTTGTTCACCTACACACGCGGGCTCTTCTACATAACATATACTGCGCTCAAGTATGATGCTCTCAAGTGTACGCGCCTCTCTGAGAATTCTTCGCGCTTTATATAGCGTGAATGTAGATAATGGTCCAGATTGAAAATAGACTAAGTGGAGCTGTGCTGACAAAGGTCGCCAAATGGTCAGGGCGGACCGACTTCGTACGCCACGGTGTAGAGTCAGGGGTGCGTGACAATTAATTAAGTCGCATATCCTACTAGTCCTACCTACTAATTTCGCATTTCTAAAGCAAACAAAAGCGACACGAAACCGATGTCCGCGTACAGGCGTGCGTATATACGCATGGACCAATGGCTGTGATAATGTAGAGTGGGATATCGGTTCGTAGACAGTAGAACGTAACGGTTGTGTAAACGGTGACAACTATAGTTTTATTATAAACACGGATAGCAACAATGTACACATACCGAGCTGTAGTCGACGTCTCTCCCGTTTCTACCAAAACCCCTGTCGTTTATCTTTCTCTATCGTCGTCCGACTTGTTTCCTCGTTAGTGTCAAGGGTCGTGGGTTCAATGACCGCTCGCGACTACCGTCCGATGGTACCCCCTTGGGATAAACTACCTCTGTTTGATAAACTACCCCGCATTCTTGGGGAAGTTAATGTGTTCGTACCATTAAAGAATGCCTTTTGTAAACGTTAATTTATGTCCCCTTAAGTATGCAGCTAATGTCTTCTGGGCCCATCGCCGGCCGTCCCTGAACGATTGGTGGTGTGCTGAATTCCCCCTCTCTCTTTCTGTTAGCTTAAAACACCGTACTACAATAACAATGTCGGGTGCCGAAGTCATGCAGCGATTTGTCGGCAGTCCAACCCCAGGAAATATATTTCAAAAGACTTTTGATGGCATTTTTTGTTCAAAGCTGGCAACCGGGCTAGAAAGTATCACTATAATCCACGCTTTCAGAATCACTCGGTTTCCAAACTGACATTTGACCTTAAAGGTCAAATTTGAGAATCAAAGGTCAAATGAGGTCAAATTTTATTTATGTTTTATTTTGTCTTGTACTTTCATATAACATTGATTTTTTAATTGAATATCAAATATTTAATGAGTTATAAGGGGTTCAACATCTGAAATAATAGGTAAATGTGAAGAAATCTTCGAAAATAAATGCCAAATTCTCCTTAATGTGTTGCTTTTTGTGATATTATATAATACTCTTTAATGATGCCTTTTCTCCTTTACGTTTTTAGATTTACATACAGGAATGATTAAGTGCTTCAATCCCAAAGCCCTTAAGTAGTATTGACCTAATTAGCATAATTAATTAGCTGTATTATAGGAGGTCAAGAGGTCAATGGTGATGAGCGTGATGCGTGTGTGTGGGGTTTGCGTGTGCCTGTGCGTGTATTATGAGCGTATGCGTGGGTGTGCGTGTGCCTGCGTGCGTGTATAAGAGTGTGTGTGTGTGTGGGTGTGTGCGTGCCGCCTGTACGTGTATTAGAGTCGGTGTGTGTGGGTGTGTATATGAGCGTGGTGTGTGGGTGTGTGTTGTGTGCATGTGCCTGTATATGAGCGTGTGTGGTGTGGTGTGCGTGTGCCTGTGCATGTATTATGCGCGTGTGCTGTGGGCGTGTGCGTTGCTGTCTGTACGTGTATATGCGCGTGTGTGTGTGGGTGTGCGTGCTTGCCTGCTGCATGTATATGAGCGTATGCGTGAGTAGTGCGCGTCGTAGTTGTGTAGTGTGTGTGTGTGCGTGCGTCGGCTGTGCGTGGTGCGTGTGTTAGTGTGTGTTGTGTGCGTGCGGTGCGGTGCCCGTGCGTGTGTAGTGTGTGTGTGTGTGTGCGCGCGCGTGTGTACGCCGCTAGACGTGTGTGAATGCCACAAGCGAGATGCGAGTAATAATACATTACTGCTTTACCTACTCATTCATTACATGCACGTTTAATAAACGTAAAAAAACCATTCAATTTAGATTATGATGTCAATTTAGATGTCGTGTCATCAAATTTAAATCGTCTTATCATTTTGTTTCCAGGAGGAAAGGATATACTAGCGTAGCATATAGTACGCGTTCGGGTGCAATACTTAATTGTGGGTTTGATGAATGTTGTGTAGTGACTGTGCGTGCGCTGCGCTGCCGTGCGCGCTGCGTGCGTGGCGCTTGCGAGCGTGAGAAAGAAGAGAGATGCTTGGTTAACTCAGAGCTAAGGTGGGCAATCGTAGGAGATGCTGCGACGCAAAGCGAATTTTGTAGGTCTGATTTTTCTAGGCGTATCAGGCTGGGCAGACCCACTTCCAACAGACAGATATATATTTATATCTCTTTTTATAAAAAGAAAAAAAAACGGTCGCGTAACGAGCTTGTAGTTAATTGGAGTAGGGAGGGGTTCAACTCTTTCACCGCGCCATGTCGAGCCACCGTTGTATCGGCGTCTGCAGTCTATCTAGATGGCTAGGTTTCTACACGGCCTAGCTGTCTACGTGCATTTGTCACGTAGCTGTCACTGCATTTATGGTTGTCGGCGAGTTTAACCTATATATGGTTTCCATGCTCTAATTAGTGTTCCAAATCGTAGCCTGGCGTCAGATTGCGTGAGGATGCATTCATTTTAAAAGTATGTAAGTTTGTGTTCTCGTTGCTATTGATCGCGCACTGGAACAAACAGCTCAAATAACAAGTTTATTTTGTAGCGTGAGGCCGCGACCGACGGCCACAGCTAACAATTAGCGACCAAACTATAAGTGCAGATGAAAGCGCACGGAGGTTTTACGGTTCGGATAAGAAAATCGATTTGCGGTTTCGCAGAATGGGAGTGGTCAGGTGCATCGATCATACGTATCAACTCAATGTTTACACAATCAGCCATGTCAGGTGTATTGATGATACGATGAACCCCGTTGACCTGTGACCCCACTGATAGGTGCCATGTTGTTATAGAATGTTTGTGACGTCATGAATAGGCAATCGCGGATGACATTTGTCTATATGTACAAGGAAATCTGTATTCCTCTTTGTTTTAATCTACGGAATGTAGTTATTGTTGCCTAAGTCGCCCTTGCGTTTATCGTGACAATAAATATATTATATCGTTATCCGCTTGTGGGTGGTTGATCAGGCCGTGAATCGTCCCACAGCGGTGACACGTCCGGTCTTGTACCTCCACTGCCAGACACGGTGTCATTCTGGCCAACGACGACAATGACAAAATCAGAAACACGGAATAATGCAGCACTTGGCTAAATAATTGCGTTTTACTAGACACACTAGCCAATTACAAAGTATTTATAATTAATCCAAGAAAATACGAAGTCAATCTAAGAATATATCCACGTCAGTATACTGTCTGGCAACTTTCATATATATATCTCCCGTTACCAACTCACTCGCCAACGTGACCTTGCCACAGGGGACACGCGAATTGTGCACGTGCTCACGTCTAAAGGAAGCTATCCTAATCTTCCACGCATGTTTAGGCTGAAGCTGCAAGCCTCCTCGTCAGCAATGATGACCTTCTAGACGTGTCAAGGTCGTGTCAAGCTTCGTGCGCACACAGTTGTATGATGTCACGGACGTTGAAGTCGTTTGTATAAGTGTGCAGACGATACACGACAGAACCCCAAAATCGTAGCAATACAGCAGTAATACAGTCTTTTCATTTATAAAAATCATCGTTGCAATAGCTATAAAAAGCTGTTAAAATACTGAAATTCTTAAGTAATACACAACAATATAATACTAAAACGATACGAAAATAATACAATACAATACAGGCATTTTTACTACGCATATACAATACAACTGACGAGAGAAATAACTCCATGACGACAAAAGGTTACCGATGATGGACACGTGTGACAGTGATCAATACCGTATTGGTACTAACCCCAGTCATTCTGCCTCTCATAATTGGTTCATATTATGATCAGATCTAACTGAGTATCACAGGATTGATAATAACAACATGTAAAGTATAGGTTTTCCGCATTCCACCGTATTTGCCTGTTAACTGTAACAGGAGAAATCACGAGCGATATTTTGTTTCGCAGGCGCGTTTTTTTCTTCGGTATAATACTTTTTCGTATTTCTATGTATATCTATATATGTGTGTGCGCGTGGTGCGTTGCGTGTGTGCGTGTGAGCGTGCGTGCGTGCCGTACCTGCGTGCCTGCGTGCGTGCGTGCGTGCGTGCATGCGTACGTTGCGTGCGTATGGTGTGTGTGTGCTGTGTGTGTGTGTGTTGTGTGTGTGTGGTGGTTGTGTGTGTGTGGTGTGGGTGTGTGTGTGTGTGTGTGTGTGTGTGTGTGGTGTCGTGTGCGTGCGTGCGTGCGTGCGTGCGTGCGTGCGTGCGTGCGTGGCGTGCGTGCCCGTGCGTGCGTGCGTGCGTGTCACTCCGGGCAGGCCGTCGCGTGCGTGTGTGTGTGTGTGTGTGTATGTGTGTATGTGTGTATGTGTGTGTGTGTGTGTGTGTGTGTGTGTGTATGTGTGTATGTGTGTATGTGTATGTGTGTATGTGTGTATTTGTGAATCATGCTTCTACACGTCTATCAGTGTCGGGTCGCAATGTACAGCAAAAGTATGCAGCCGTGCTGGCTGGTTTTATTTGTAATAGTCTGATTAAACGTTTAAGAGCGAAGCCCGTGCGTGCTTGCCAGATCACGTGGACGTCACGTGCCGGTCGACTTTAGGAACCGGGGGTAGAGTTGACCGGGGGTGGGGTTGACCGGGGGTAGTGATGGTCGTCCCCGCTTTATAATTAATAGCAGGAAAACATTGATGCAGTCATTTCTGCGCATTTCATACTTCAATTTTATATATTGCTTTTAAATTCAGGGCTTGCTAAAGGCCATACGAACTGCCGTCTAACCAAATTCCATTGCTACTGGGATGCACGCCCCCCTCCTCACACATTCCTGGGTCTACCACTAACGTGTATATATGGCAGGCACGCCAACCGTCAAAACCGTTCTGCGTCGAATTGTCGACTTTGTTAACGAGGAGAACTTAGTTAATAACGAGAGTTAATATGCAGCACTTCAAGGCTGCGATCGCTGGGTAAGTGTCTAGCATTGTATAATGACCATTTAGTAGTTAAATAGCAGTATTATATAGTAGTATGCTAATATTTATTATGTTCTTATAAAACCCATT